ATATTTTAACGTTAGTGCACATTATTAAAAACACAGGTGTGTTCATTTAATAAATAACGATAATTATAAAACAAATGATGACAATGACAATAACATTTAGACAGCCATATATCGCCCCATGTAAGGGAATCCAAGACCAATACAGTCTTGGATTCTGGATTCCAAGCCACGCATTCCGAATTCCAGGTACTGGTTTCCAGTCTTTGTCAGTGTGACTTCTATCGTTGGTGGGATTCCGGATTTCTTGAGGTGTACTTCAGATTCCAAAGCCTAGGATTCAAGATTCTACAAGTAAAAATTTCCCGGATGTTGGATTCCCTTGCATGGGGCGACATACATCCGCACAGGTATGCGTACTAGTCAATCGGTTTAAAGAAAGAAAGTTTATTGCGGTCGACAAGAGGAGCCCGCAATCCTAATCTCCAGGGTGTTATTACGCATGCGTCGTATGTATGTAGCCAGCGTTTGTTTCGACTTCCACTAAGAATTAGCCTGTTCCAAGCGTTTGGATAGTGGAGAGCGGTTCGAAGTAATGAAAGCGATGAAAAGTAGAAGGGGACTGGGGAGAGAGGTGCGGGAACGCTTGTAAGAATTTTTAACAAATGTGCGTTCCGTCCGGTATACTAGATCCTGGTATACCCTGTTGAAGGCACAAATGTAATAACTGGTCACAAATGTAATAAAGGTCACAAGTGTAATAACATTTGGTCACAAATGTAATAAAGTTCACAAGTGTAATAACATTTGGTCACAATTGTAATAAGCATCTAAACTAAGCTAAAACAAAAATCACAAGGAAATCTAAAATCCCACAGAGGACATTCTTTCCTACGCTTTTACACCACACTGTGCACGAGTAAAAATTTTTAGAAATTTAAAAAATTTCAAAAGATATCACTTCAAATCAAAGGTGAGCTGAATAGCTAAAATGTCACAGGAAATTGTATAAGTAAACTCTTTCCTTAGGGGATATCACGAGTATGTGACTGAGTGGGAACCAAGATTGGGAGACTTTTATACACTGATGCCGAACCTAACAATATAAAGGATCCAAATGCGGTGTCAGTGGCAGGGGCAAAAAAAAAAACGTTCTGACGACTCAACAATGGAAAGGTCACAGTCAACGGGAAACGAGTCAAGAGAGTTGAAGTAGAATTGGCCTTGAGGTTCCTTGTGAGTATCGGTTTGAAAGTGACAGTTTTTCTTGTTGGCTGCAACGGAAACTGGAAAAAGAGAAATTCAACGTGTGCTCTGATAGACCCACCACAGAGAAGTGTAATGGTCTGTACTTAATACCAGCAGATTACAATGTAATGCTACGTTTGATGAGCTGTGAAAGAAACTGGACATGCTTCGCTTGCCTTAAAAGTATTTTAACAATGAATCAATTTGCACCAGTTGTTTCTAAATAAGGGCGAAAATCGCGAACAAAAGACCATTTGTCAATGCATCACCCTGACGAGTTTGCTTAGGTCGCAGGTTATGTGTGTTTTTCGGAAGTGCGTTTCAGAAGGGATTTCTAACGTCAAAACATTATACTTTTTGGGGGAATTTACCTTTGAATTCAGCAATGGTATCTCTCTGAAATTTATTCTGAATTTCAATGACAATAAAGTTTTTGACGAGCACTTAATCCAAAAAGCCAAAAATTTCTAGGGGCAGCGGACGAAAGATTGGGGGCCATAAGAAATTTAACTTCATCATACGAATCTACTTTATCTACTGTTTACATGTTCCATGGGTAAAAAGTTAGCATCTGCTTTGTATAAAAAAAACATCATCGAAGCCAAGGAGCCACAGGAAAATGCATTTTTTTTCCTCTGGTTTTGTTTTTTTATTGTTTTGTTGCTGCTAAACTTTATTTTTTTTCTCAAATTTGTATGATTTTCAACCTTCCTATGTAAAGTAAAGTTGTTATAAAAAAGTACCATACAATTCTATGGCTGATGCAGGTTATTGGTTCAACTGTCGTCATTTCATTATTTGGACCTCTCAAACCAAACGGATAGTTTTCTTACTGTCGATGCCGCCATTCTTTGTGAGTTCCACAAATGGCCAACGGTGAAACTTTCAATTTTCCCGTTGCCTAGCACTTGAGCTTAATTCTACTCCAAAGTAAGCGTGTAGATTGATGATTTCATTCACAACTGCTTTAATCTGTTTTCGAGCAAAGACAATCATCTTCCTTTCCAGCTCTTTGTCAAGTGTGCAGTACTTTTAAGGATGTAAATAGAGAATTGCAGTCCTAAAAATGATTAATTCCGATTAGCTCACCCCAGACGGTGAAACTTGACCTTCTAAACAACTCCCGTTGCCTAGCACGTGACAAAATTCTATCCAAAGTAAGTGTGCTGTTGTTTTAATTTGCAGACCAGTATGATACGCAGCTCTTTTAACATGGCTTTGAGGAAACAGCGTCATTTCTATCTATTTGCAAAGCGCGCCAGATTTTTGATGGTGACAATAAAAAAAAGCAGACCTAAAAATTTATTTCCTCCGGTCAGTCTGTCCCTGGAGGAGAGAATACTACCAGAGCCACACCTCATCCCTCAGGGATCGACAGAGACATAGACGCTTTATTTTATGTGTTACATATGCTTAGTCATACGGCCATTCTATAGACATCCCACAAGTAAATTTAGGGTAAAAATTAAATACTACATTTCACAAATTTTATTTACTAATTCCTAAGAGTTTTCCAGTTTTCATTTTCCGAAGAGCACCTCGCTCACTTATATATGGAGTTACCCCCGGGTCTGTCTGGATTTGGTGTCGTCTGCTATCAATTCTGGTCAGTATCTTGACGCAACATTCCAGTAGTCTTTGCGAATAAGCGGGCACGTTGGTTAATTCAGATACAAGATGAGGACTGTATGTGCAATGCTTTCGGCTCTCTTTATCTGCTTGTTAGTTCTCCGTAACTGCGCGGCTGTAAAACGAAAAGAAAGAGGGAGAGGAGACAGAGATAAATCAGCCATTGATGATGCGATTTACGATGTTCTGATCAGGATGATTGAAGGCGAACGTTTACCAGCCGTAAAGGATCGAACAAGAGCACAGCGATCAGCAGCGGTGCGCTACTGGAGAGCTCATGGCGATTTATCGGTAAAGGAAGAAGGCAGCTGCAAATTTATCTACTCTAAAGCTACAGGGCGTCGGATACTAAGAGTTTCAGAAGTGCAAAAGGTTATTTCCGATGAATATAAAAGGGTAAAAGGGTCGGGCGCTGCAAAATTAGTAGCATCTCTGAAGCAAAACTTCACAGGCTTAGTAGGATAAAAGTACAAGAATTCCTTAACACAGACAAACAGCATTACAAAAGAATTGCGAAATTCTGTAACAAGGCAAGACTGAAGCCAATTCGAGCTAGAGACGTGCAGATAAGGCACCAGATTGACTTAATGGACATGGGACAGAAAGGGGCTGTCAAGTTCAATGGCTCGTCTTACAGATATGTTTTGTCAGTAATGGACGTTTTCAGTCGGTTTGTTTGGCTTCGTCCTGTAAACAAGAAAATGAGTAAGAACGTTGCAGATGAACTACGGACCATATACCTGGAACATGGACCTCCCCAGGTCATTCAGTGTGATCAAGGGGGCGAGTTCAAAGGAGCCGTCAAGGAGCTTTGCCGCCAGCTGGGAATAAAAATAATTTGTAGTAGTCCATACCACCCACAGTCTCAGGGAAAAGTCGAACGTAGCCACAGGGCTTTACGATCCAAGATGGAATACGACATTATTCAAATGGGTTCAAAAGGTGTAAATTGGGTACAAAGGCTGCCAAACCACCAGCGCATCTTAAACGAAGACCCAAAAGAAGGTTTAGCCTACAAAACACCCTTTGAAGTGTACTTTGCACGTAAATGTAATTCGTATAACACAGCCATGACAGATGAAGAGGTGGTCGAAAATGCTGCCAAATGTAACCCATCAGAAGGCGACCGAAGACGGTGCTCTAAACATGCCTCCCTAACCAGGAAGAAGGCTGCAAAAGCATCCGAGAAATGCAGTGAGAGAATGGTGAGAGGACATTTGCGATCCAATCCATCCTCAAAATATAATGTTGGAGAAAAGGTATACATACGCCTGCCAAGGAAAGGAGGCATTAAAAGCGCACAAGAGAGGCACTGTGTTATTGAGGCTGTAATAATAAAGAGAAACACTCGTCGCCATGTATACAAAGTTAGGTACACTTCCCCTATTACTGGCAAAAAAGAAGAGAAGTGGCTGCCGGTAGACGACGTCACAAGCCTTACTCTCGGAGAGGAGAAGAAGAAACAAAGATTGGCAAAGGTGTCAAAGAAAAGGCAAAAAGCTCATCATAGTAGATATTACATTCCAATGGAAACAGACGATTACAAAAAATAATTTAGGATCAGGGTTTGGATATTGATTATAATCCGCCTGGGGATGGATCTTGCCAGTTTGCTGCACTAGCGCATCAACTCTCTGCTTTGGGAATTTTCAGATCCCCTGAAACCATGCGTGAGGAAATAGTAAATTATTTGGAGAACAATGTAGTGGAATAAGGAGGGTTTTCCGCTTTTGGAGTTTCTTGCAGAGTTTACGTCTTGGGAAGAATATTTAGAAAATATATGTCCAGATGTAACACTTTTGGGGATCAAATAACTCTCTTCGCAGCAGCAAATTTATATAACGTTAATATTCAAGTAATATCTACGCTTGAACCTGGTGCACAGCATCTATTTGAACCCTCATCAAGCTCTCCACTAGCCACTGTTTACCTCGGGACACTTCGCTCAGGGTGAGCATTACGTGAGTCTTATGCCATGGGTTTGTGATACTCAAAATAAGGGGCCTGAATGTGAAGGCGGAAGTGGCTACGGCAGAGATGGTGATGACGAAAGTGGGTACTGCAGAAATGGTTGTGGCGGAAGTAGTGAGTACAAAGGTGGAGAGAGCGAAAATAGAAGGTATACAGGTGGTGACAGCCGAAGTGACAGGGACATAGATGATGGAACAAGTAGAAGGAACACAAGTGGTGTTGGAGGAATTGGTGGAAACACGAAAGGTTATAGCGGAAGTAGAGGAAACACAAGTGATGTTGGTGCAAGTGGCGAAGACAGAAATGGTGATGACGAGTGCAGAGGGGAGACAGGTCGTGTTGTCGGCATCGGCGGAGACAAGGAAGGTGATAGCGGAAGTAGAATGCACACAAGTGGTGTTGGTGTAAGTGGCGAAGACAGAAATGGTAATGACGGGTGCAGAGGAGGAACGGGTTGTTTTTGCAGCGTTGGCGGAGACAAGGAAGGTGATAGCGTAAGTAGAATGGACACAAGTGATGTTGGTGCAAGTGGCGAAGACAGAAATGGTGATCACGGGTGCAGAGGGGGGACAGGTCGTGTTGGCGGAGACAAGGAAGGTGATGGTGAAAGTAGAAGGGACGCAAGTGCTGTTGGCAATAATGGGTGTGACACAAGTGGTGATGGTAAAGGCAAAGAGGATGAAGTTTATGTTCTCAGAATTGACGGGGAAACGGAACAAGTTGGCAGAAGTAAGGGGGATGCAGTAAGTGAAGGTATATGTGGCGCGGACAAAAATGACGAGCTACAGAATGGAGTAGGATCAGAATACACAGGGCAATTTTTAAACAACGATGTGCTAGAAAGTATCATTACGATTAGCTTAAAGACCTTTCCGTTTATGAGAACATCCCTACGAGGTGTGAATACCTTCTTCAGAGAAACAGTAGACAAGATGCCTTGCCCTACGGTATACATTCCAGAACTTGCAGAAAAAACAGTCGTCATAAGCATAAGGAAACTAGTAATGCTGAAGGGGAGATGCAGTAGTGCTGTTGAACGCTTTTGGGCAGTTATTAAATCCCCTAAATGGTATCATGCATGGGTGAGGTTAGTTCCTCTAGAATTTGGATGGTTTGCAATATCTGGCATTTTTTGGAAGAATATTGCAAACACACGTAAATAGAAAAGCGTGCCAACCAAAGAAGAACATAGGTTCCTCGTTTAACGCCAAATAAGGAAGCTTGTTTATGGATTTGCCAAGACTGATTCTATATTGTTTCGCTCTAGCCTGATAAAACTGTGTTCTTCTCAGAGAAAATTCGTGCTTGGTGTATTAATTAATAGGACTGATGTTCGGTTCCCATACTTTTTTGTATGTACAACTACAGTTTCCCTTCCATGTATAACAGGAAAGCAATTCGAAGTCCTAATTTGATAACCGCAAGCCTTTCTTTTTTCAAGGTTGTAAATTAATCTTCAAATTTAATGAGATTAAACCATTGTTTTGAAGTTATAGGTTGTCTTAAGACCTTATTTCACTATATTGCAACAATCAAATTCCCGTCAGGACTGTGTGACGAACAGGTGACACTACAGTCGCCTGTTGAAACTGTTCAATCCCGTCATAAACCAATTAGCAAGTTTACATGTATTTCGTATGAGGGTAACCCATCGTGCTTAACCAATTCAGGTCTCCTTCGCAGCCGTGCGTCTGATGCCATCAAGAAGAGCTATTTGAGGCATTTTCCGGCCTCTATCTCGCATAAAATTAAAGGTTCCAAACTATCCGAAACTTTGCATACCTGTCGAGTATTACGCTGGTCGTGCTGTTCTCAAAGCTTAATAACAGCTTGCGAAGCTCGAACAAAAGACTTTCACCGTCCACTCAAGGTTTTGCCTTTCGCTTTCCCTCTCCCTACTTCTTTTGGTTCTCTTCAACTTCCCGTTCTTTACGTTTTTCGTAAGCCCTTTTGACTGAATTGGCCTTTTTTGGATATGATTTGAAAGTCATCTTTGCCCTGCACAATTCAGTCTTCAAAGTTATATTACCTTTAATTTATGTCTCTGAGTGAGTTACTCTTTTTAAATTGTTAAGTTGGTAATTATTACATTTGTGCCTTCAACGTCCCTCTGATTGGTTGATTTCGACAATTTTTGTCAATAGTGGAGCATCTTCGATCACAGAGAGAAATGCGATATGGTGGTGATAACAGATTATGTCCCATCACGCAGAATTTGAACTCGCAACAAACACAGCGCTGAGTGACTTTCCAAACATGGAGGCTAAACGCGAAGAGCAAAGAAACTGTTTAAAACACCTAGTCGGCAGGTTAGATGTCTCCGCAATTTTATCGACTGGATTTGGAAAAAGTCTTATTTTCCAGCTTTTTCCTCGAATAAAGTGTGCGTTGGAATGAAGGCATGTTAGAATGCCACTAACGATTGTTGTGGTAACTCCGTTGATTGCCATCATGAAAGACCAAGTGGAAAATTTGAACAAAATCGGAGTAGCGGCGGTAATGATGGGAGAAGATGTGGATGAAGCCATTAAAAGTAGAAGCTGTGAAATTGTATACTGAAGTCCCAAATCGTGGTTGTCTAAGGAATGGATCAAAGGACTTCAAGAAGGAAAGCTTGCAAAGCAAGTTGCAGCTATCGCTATTGACGAAGTCCACTTAATCACCGAATAGTAAATTTTCCCTTCAATTGTTGTGCATTTTCATTGCTTGAGTTAACGATCTGTATTGAATCGGCTTTCTATCAAAATGAGCGATATTTGTTTGTCACTTGATTCAAAATTTTTTGTCACGCACACGCTGAAATCATGTTTTAAATCCGTAACTAAATTCATTGTACATGAGTACTTCTCGCGCTTTCTATTGTCTGAAAGTATTACATTAGGTTTTTAGTAAGATAATTAGATTTTTAGGACGATTGTATATATAATATTATTTTTTGATCTGAGAAATTTTGGTTTATTCGCAAGAAAAATAATAAATGTGCGGGGCTGTAAAACCAGTCTTGATTGACAAGTGAAGACCACCTACAGCTGATGCGGTCTGAGTGGCCGGAAGAGTCTATTTTAAACAAATCTTACAGGCGTTTCCTCTCTCACCTCTCCTCCTCCCTTGTTTCTATTTTTTCGCGCTCCTTTTTACTTCGCACCACTCCCCACTATCTGAACGCCTGGAACAGGCTACTAAGAATGAATGTAATGCACGGAACACAACTTGGTCACGCACGTTTTGACCTTCTATCACTCGTAATCTGATCAAGATCAGGCGTATTTTGACTATCTGTCAGGTAAACCTTACGCAAAGCAGAGCAATGGAGCAAAAGCTTGTTGACCTTCGATCATTGTCGCCCGCACTCCCTAACCTTTGGTTATTACTCTTTTATAGATGTAGCCTAGATTATTTACCAAAAGATTCAGTCACATGTGGAAAAACGACGCTTGGATTCACATTTTACTCCACAAGAAGTTGAATGATTCAAACTTTTGGACAGACTTAACCCCGAAAAGCCCCGAAAACATGGACATCTGGTGCACAAATGCCTGAGATAATTCAATGCGCTAGATGGAAGCAACCATAAATATGCGGAACCGATTATAAATG